AAAATTGTTATGAGTTATATTAATCTAAATGTATCGCAACGGGACTAATACTTCTATAATGTTCAGTTTGCTGATTTAAAAATTTCCACTTTAAAAGTGTATTTAAGATTTTTATTTTTTCAGGTTCTCATGATGCTCATTGGTATGGCAGTTGCTGGAGACTTGCTATTCAATCGAGGCTATTACTACCCAGTACGTTCGCAGGGATACTATGGATACCCTGTGAGAAATCTCGGGTTCTCTGGCCTTTCTTCAGGATTCAGAGGTCTTTCTTCCGGATACTATGGGTCAAGTGGATTTGGCAGACCCCTTTACTATTCATCGCACTACTAAAAGGCGATGGAATAAATCATGATGAGAAAGAAACTTATTCTTTGTAAATTTTAAAAATGGAAACAAATTCAATTGAAATATATTAATCTTGCTCCTAATTTTCGAACAAAAAATTGAAATTATGTACCTGTATTCTTTTAATGTGGCCCAATAAAAAATGTTTTACTGCAGAATCAATAAGAAATTTTAAATTCTTTTAATTTCACTTTGCTTGAAATTTTACAAATTTTCGTAAGAATTTTTAGAAAAAAATAATTAGTCTTTGAGAGCCATTTCTTTATTAAGATGCAGACACAAAAATGTTAATGAACATTGCTTTTTTTTTCATTGTGTTTTAACTGGAATCTTATATTTTAGCAGTGAAGCAATGTTATGAAGATTTTAGCATTTACATACTAGCATAAGGCGCTGATCTTTTATTTTGTTTGAATTTGTCTTTTCCTTTATTTCAATAAAGGCAGTTTTAAAATAACTTACGTATTTTTATATTAATAATTTTTGACATTGAAATATATCCAAGTAAATTATTAACATTGAAATATTAATTTAAGCTTCTAAACTAATTCGCATGTTATGCGATTAATTTCTCAGACAGTTTTTCGGGATTCGAAACATTAATAACAATTTCAATTGTTACTACTGGAAGAATGTCTAAAGAACTCAGATTCTAGTAATTCATATTTCAGGTAGTTCAAAAGTTTATAACAAGGGGGTTTATGTGAAAGGTCACACAAAGACAAAACACTATAAATAGAAATTTTCATACTTCGCCTCACATCTCTTTTTTTCAAATAAATATTACAAACATATATAAAGAATGTGAACTAAAATAAGCTAAAAAGACACCGAATAAAAATTATTGATGATACTAAGGCAACAAGAATCAGCATAATTTTAAAAATGAGCGGGATTAGTTTCGAAGTTCGTATCGTTCTTCAGCTGCAGGAGTAAAATGACGAAGAAGAAGCCTGTGCTCTCGCGATAACAATAGACTAGAAAATTAAGAGTTTCATTGAAGAAAGAAGCAAAGGTACGAGAGGTCATCTATTTATAACATATAAAAACTGCTATAAAGTAATTTCCTTAAATGCTATAGATCAAAATGGATTAGAAATGGGATCATTAACTGCAACTGAAAGATTTTTATGAATATGAAACACCTCTAGAGAATCTAATTCGTGAATGGAAGTTGTTTGTGGTATAATTTTGGCTGCACAAAAATGGATGATAGGATTTGTCTTGATAGGACTGTTTTGAATTTTCTAACCTATTGTTAAACTGAAAGCCAGGGACCTCTAGAGTCCCTAAGCATTTAAAAGATTTTGGTGCCCCTACATATGTTTACTCTAGTTTTTCTTCATTCCTGCTTTCTCTCACTCCTCAGTTGTAGCTGTACCACGGTAAAAACCAACAATGGGAAATTTTGTGTACATCCTTTCTCTTATGCCCTGAGCATACGCTTAACAGTTAATCCAGTCCTGGTGAGAGCACAGGCTTCTCTTTCTTCATTTTCAGTCCTGCAGCTGAAGAAGAGGCCACAGAAGGACTAATCTTGAAAATTACTCTGATTTTTGTTACCTTAGTATCATCATCAATATACAAAGGAAATCCACATCCAGAGGTGAATTTAAAGAATCACGTAAATTGCAACTGTAAGGAAACTTGTGTTCGAAAAGGCACTTAATCACTTTCCGCAGTCAAGTAAGAACAGAGAAAAATATAATAAAACTGTAAAAAATATTCTGTGTCTTGCGGTCATCGGAAATTCACGTAAGGTGGCCACCTAAACTTTCAAATGTTTCGTAAGAGAATAAATTAAAATCAGAATTTTCTTTGAGAAAGTTGAATGTAAAATGTTTAAAGTCTTCCTTGCTATTAATTAAAAAATGTTTTAATTCAGATGAACCAGAATTGTTAGATTTGACAACATACGACATATACCAAAGAAACCAATCAGAAGTCCATATTCCTAATGTATTCTTAGTTACATTCTTATTATATATATTAGCATATTCTCAGTTAACCTCAACATTTTGTTTCGTAGTACTTGTAATTTGTTTCTATCAAAGGCAGTAAAATTATTATTATACTGATATGTAGTATATTTGTGTTCTTAATACCGTACCAAACTTTCGTATGAGCAATGAGTACTTAGTAGGCTTGCCAGATATTACCGTAACTTCTAATTCCGTGATGACGATATATATCAGAAAAGAAAATAAAAAATAGACATTGTTTTTTGCATGATAGCTTTCGGGTAAACATTTAACATATCCATACACATATATACACATATATGGATAGAATACCGTGATGAATGTTATGCATCTTGTATTCTGCCTGGTCTACAATCGCAGACAAAATTTTAGCGAGAATTCCAGATATTCTCATTATGAAAATTTTTTTTTTTTTTTTTTTGAGGGGGGTATTGAAACATTTTTGGTATAGAAACATTCGTGAGAAATTCCAAATAACACTTTAATTTAAAATTAGATGAGTTAGCAACCTTATTTTGGCTTAAAGTTTGAATAAATCTGTATTTATTTAAAATTTTACATTTGGCGTAGTTTCTCTTCTAATTTAATATTTCAGTGCTTCACATTGGTCTATTTCCGAAAATATGATAGTTAAAAGAGAACAATAATATTTATACTTTAAAATTTAGCCATCGTTTTTTTTCTTAAAATTCTTATTATAATAATTAACGCTATAACAAGGCTAATTAATTTACGAGGATTGTATTCTAGGGCTGCGGAAAATTTGCTCAGCGGGCAGCCAGTTTGTGCAACCGTGTTGAGGTATACGATATAAACTTACAAGCTTCTTACTGGAATTTATTTCCCTAACGTTGCTCGCATGTTATGTTGCTAACACTTTGATATCTAGAAGGAAGGCTTAGATACCTAAGCTTAATACATAGCAACACTGATATAAAAAGGTACTCTCTTTTGTTAGTACAAAAAATGCGAAGATGCTCAAATAATTTTCTACAGAAAAGTAGATAAAAAAAATGCGAGCGGAGGAAAATTGTTTAAACACAGTCCTGAACAGGTAAGAAAAGGGGAGAAAGAATTATCACATTGTTAAAGAACGCTTTGAAGTTTTGCGAAAATACATCCGATACGTAGATAATAGGACTTAAGACGTAGATAATAGGACAAAAGTCTTAAGACATATTTCCACCAGTAATAGTTGATAAAAACAACAGTTGAGGAAACAGTTGATAAAAACAACAGGATGTAATTTCAAAGACAGCAGGTAATAATTCTGTAGATGACTTGTAGTTACTTTGAGATTAATTCATTAACTATTAAAATCAAGGCATTTTTAAAGAAAGCGGTTACCGGCGGTTATCAATTTCTGATGAAATCAAAATTTGAAGTAATAGATTTTCAACAGTAAGTATAGCTTATTTTATAAAACTGTACATTTTACGCTTTAATCATTAACAACTCTGTAATTTAAAAACTAATTCCTTTCCTAATTAATACTTTTGATGAAATTTATTAATTTGCAGTGTTTTACTTTTATGTTACTGTACTTCTACTAAAAATGTCATTAACTTCATATTACTGAATTCCTTAAAAATGGTCACATAAAGCAAGGTGATATGAGATAGTACAAGATACTTTTCTGGCAAATAATTGAAAAACAAATAGATAATATGAAAGAGATAAACAAGGCACGATTTAAACATCCCAAACAAGATATAAAAATGGTGAGAGAGATAATGTAGAAATCGTCAAATTAGGCATCATTTATTTATCACAACATGATATGAGTTGATGTTGATAGCTATTTAAAATTTTTGTCTTTGTTACTTTAATTTTTAATCATTGTTTATTTACTTGTTCTTTTTAATATAAAAACCTTTCAATGATACGCCATTTATTTTATTGTGAATTATGATCTCTCTTTGGTTGCCTGTTTATAAATATATGTGTATGTCATTTTACAGATGTTAAATTTTAAAAGTCTTAGACAGAGGTGATGGTATCTTATAAAAATTATTTTATTCACTGTAACCTGAATATATATTGCAAAATATAAACTGTACGTATATGCTACAAAATATCAAGATATATGTTAATATTTCCATATTTACATATATGTAATTTATGATAGTGCAACTAATCGGCTAGTACGTAAAACAAAACAGAAAGAAATGTTTTCAATACTGGTTTCAGTTGTTTCAGTTGTTTTTAATACCGGTTTCAGTTCATAATTAAAGTCCAAATGCAATTCAGTATGATTTGTATGCGTATAACAGTATATTCATAGATAGCAAGTTTAAGAACGCTTTACTTAACTATACGCGCGATTTAAAACAAATTTAATTCAAAGCATTAAATATTGCTATACTTTTCTTGCGCAATCGAAAATTTCTTGCATTGCCAGTGTGAATCTCTTATTTAAAAAGAAACTCTTTCTTGCATTAGCAACAATGCTTAGTAAGAAAGAAAAACGTTATTTAATGCAACAAAAACTTCTAACAATATAATTTTAACAATGAGTAACACGTCATGAGTATCATTTCTTAAAAGATATTTTGGCATTTTCAATTGAATTAGCTTCTTATTATCCAGAGACGTATATCACGCAATCAAGCGAAAAGCACAGAGATTTAATTCTTCAGAAAGTCTTTCTTCTATAAAACTGCGTTGAGTATGTTTGAAGATTTTTGCTGCTGCTGCGGAATGCTTCTAAAACTAGATAAAAACAACAAGAAAGTTCAAGAAGATCTTTTGTCTGTTACTCCTCAGTGCTTTAAGCTGACGGATTCTCCTAAAAGCAAAGTTAATATGGTAATATGTAACAATAATTCATTCCCTGTGTATTTTAAATTGTACTCATCGAATGTTCATGCTATACGTTTTCGACCTATGGAAGGCTGTATACCATCTGATGAACAGGTAAGAAAATAGTTTGACTATCTCTTAGTTGAAGTAACAAAATAAGAGTATTAAATGTTCGAAAGTAAAATTTCACGACTACTGTTCTTTGTTTTAGCGAGGGCATTTCACATTTTTCACGTCTCCTGCTTAAAATCAAAAAGAGAACCCTAATAACCCCTCCAGCAGGGGTTCTCAACCAATGGTACGCGTACCACTGGTGGTACGCAAGAGAAAAATAGGTGGTACGCAAAGAAGCAAAGTATTTTTAAGTATTAAATTCAAAAATTAAAACACCAACATCCTGATTGACTTCTTTCACTAACTCTCGTAAATTTATGGGATCCGAGCTTTTTTCAAGAGTGGTGGTGGTAGTAGTACTTTGTAGTAGTGGTACTAAAGGTTTTCATTTTTTGTTTAGATGGTACGCGTTAGTCAAAAGGTTGAGGACCGCTGCTCTACAGTATTATTAATCATTAATCGAATAATGTGAATAAAATTACCTCATTTTAAACTACACAAAGACACTTTAAAGCATTCGTTTCTAGTTATCTTATTTGTAAACAGTATATTTCTAAAACAATTTTGTTATTAGGATAATTTATGGTGTACTTTATTTTATATTATAAGTGAAGTAAATCCTGCAGTCAAAATCAACAGTTAAATGTCGCACACATTGCTTTAAAGTTTAGGACATTTAGAGCATTTACAGGAAAGTCTAAAATAAAAGTTCTGAATTTTGAGCAATTAAGTATTACTTTAGAAATGCTCAAGTAAATAAAGACAAGGATAAGCGAGCATTTAAGGTACTTCCTTGAATTATTTTTTGCTGAACGGGAAGCTTATGAACTTATAACTGCTCTGCGATAAAGCTACTCAATTGATCAAGGGATATGAGAGTTAGTTTATAGTCAAATAAAAACAGCTATTACACAATCTAATCTCAAAATATTTAAACCTTTCTACCATAAACTATCTTAAATGTATATATTAGACTTTTAAATAACAGGTCTATTTGGTGACCGTTTTATTTGCTATATGTAACAAACTATATTTCGAATATTTCTTCTGGATGTCAAGCACTAGCGTTTTATATTTCATTTATAATGCAGCATGCAGTCTGAATATAATAATGAATTATTTTCTGTGATGACATTGTATTAATATATGTTATCTGGTTTGTTTCGCAGTCATTTAAAATTAATCTTTAATATCATAATAGTTTGTTACACTCCATATTTTGCAATCTCTGAATTATGTAATATTTCTTAACTAAAAACGAGAAAATAGCACATTTTTCACTGTTCAAATTTATTTATGCTCTCAAATGTTCTTCAGCAAAATAACAGCCAACTAGCTGTACAAAAACGCGTGTTGAAAAGTAGCTTTTGCATTCAGAAAAGTTAAAATTGTTTTTGCAACTAATTTCAATACTACATTTCAGAGTTTGCAAAAATGGTTTTTCTAAATCATAATACGAATAAAGAAATTTAAGTTAAAGATTTCACGATCAGAAATTATCATAAGTAAGAACGTTTGCCAAAAGAGAAGAGAAAACTATTGGAATCCGAAGCTTTTCGTAAAATGAATTATATAACAAATCTTAAAGAAATTTATCTTCCGAATACATCATGCTTATTTGCCGAAAATAGACTATCAATTTCAGTTTAAGTATAAAAGTATAATTTCATTTGTAAAGACGTCTAAGTGAATCAGTTTGAGATGAATTTTAGAGAGTTGTATCTAAACTATTCTAAAAGAACAGAGATTTTTGTTTTAATATAAAACTTCTTTGAAAACCATCTATGAAAATTTTAAAATATTTATATATGATTTTAAACTTCGTGGAAATTAATCAACATATTAAATTGTTTAGTACACACAATGTTTGATAAACAGGATAATTAAAAAGAAAATGTTAAATTGAACTCTAAGGCCAGAATTTATATGGCATATTACTCTTAAATTTTCAGACAAAAATAAAGTTAGATATCGAAAATGAAATAGATAATGGCTAGACACTATGTATAATTGCAATATTTCTTATTACTTAGGGTCGAAATACAACTTCTTTCACAAAACATAGAACTAGAAAAAGCAAGATAAACATAAAATTTATTGTGACAACTAAACTAAGATAAACAGTTTTAAACTGAAATACTCCCAGCACTTATCATTTTGAAATACAGTTACTTATAATTTACCGCTAGTGAAACTAATTGGAAAAGTAGCACGCCATAGTAAAATTTAAAAATAGTCAGAGACGCAATCTGAGCTTCAAGTAGACTTTGAATAAAAGCTTATCAACTTTATGGGTGATCTGACTTAAGCCATCTTCTTCAGAAGCATAAATATTTTGTGAATTTGCGAGGAGCAAATAATCAAATTTACAGGAAAATCAATTGGCAGAATGTGCCTACATCTGTTGAGAGAAAAGAATGAAACGTAAAAAGCTAAGATATTGTAATATTGTTAGCATTCGGAAATTGATTTGAAATTAATGCCATTATATAAAGGACATAAATTTTAGTGAACGTGAAAGATTTCAAAAGAAATTCAGTTAAACAACTAAAAAAGTTTTCTAAAGAACATTCGCAAAATTAAAAAAAATATCTCTGATTGTTTTCAGAAATTTGTTTATTTCTACTCTTGCAACTTAGGATTAGTGCTTTTTAATAGAGTTAATTTTACCGGTGTATGCCAAATCACGTTGACAAAAAGTGTCATGAATTCTCTGAAAGTTAAAATCAGAAAAAGCTGTTTTAAAAATCGAATAATGAATGTTAGTGATGAGAAAACGACCTAAAATCCAAGTAATTTAACAATTCGTATAAGGATAAAATACGATGACAAAAAGATCACTGTGGTTTTGTATAATAGCAGAATGTATATTATTATCGAAAACTTTTTAAAGGCGTTATCAATAACCGTTGAAGAAAATCTTCTGCCAGGGACAACTGATTTCAAATAACTGAAGTCCTGAGAAAGAGGAGATTCCAAAGAACAAATCTTGAGAATAACATTGTTCTCCACAAGTTCAACTCTCAAATCATTTTTTTCACCTTTCACTAGCTCGGTTTTTAAAGATTCCACTCTATTTTCACCCCTTATAGAATTATTATTTTTATAACATTCCTTGTTAGCGTAGTTTGGCGTATACCAACAAAAGTACAACAGCGTTAAAATTCCGCATCAAAAGATTTCTACATCTGAAGAGTAAAAATAAAACAAATCCCCAATAGCTAATCATTGGTCACTTAACCACAATTTTGTTTTGACTGTTTTTGCAATGAAAACTATCTATGAAGCTTCTTAAGGTGGTTTCACTGGAGCCTTTCATATTCGCAAAAATTTACTTTTTTATTTAGTGATATTAATTTCAAATCATTCCCGGCGAATGCTTTCAGAATTTTAATACCTTAGATTTTTTTTACATTTCATTTTTGTTTTCCTCAATAGATGATGCTAGACTTCTTATCTAGATTTGCTGTGTTCATTTATTTTTCTATAAATTAAGCTATTTGCTGTTTTCACCTCTGTTTTGTTCCTGAAAAGGAAGCACGTATGTCAAACTGCTCTCAAAACCGAATTTTGAATTTTTATCCAAAACTATGCTAATCAAAAACTGCTTTAAAACCGTTGTTAATTAGTTCTTTTTCTCAAACATCTTATGATGAAAAAGCATTAATATACAGCAGTGTACTGTATTGCCACCATTATATTATATATAACTAGGTCACTATTTTATACATCATCTATTGCGTCTACTGTAAAATCTTTGCGCCTATTCGCCTAGTTTGTTATGCTGTCATTATTTCACTTTTCCCTCTGTGTTTCTCTTCACCTCTTTCCGAATATATAAAATCGAAAATTATTAACAAGACAGCTGTCTAGTTGGCAAGGGAAAAAAGAAGAGAGCAATAATTTTCTGTGCAAATAGCAGACTCTAATTAAGTAGTTAATTTCAGTCATAAATATCTTATCGATCGATTACATTTTAATTTGAATACATTAAACATTCCTATTTAGTATGCTAAAAAAACGTTATTAGTATTTTTACTGTACAATACTTTTGTTTAGCATACCATTTCCTACATTTGCTTCTTTCATTAATAATAAACTAACAGATAAAAAAACATGAAAAAGCTTATTATAATATGTAACAATAATCTCACAGAAAAACATTTTCTGTATTTAAATTACTCTCCATTTATTAGTTGCATTGAAAAATTCAAAATCGATACATATCAAAAACGAAGTTTCAAAAATTACTTAAGAGTTAAATTGAAATTTAAGTTTGGTAGTACAAGCTAAAAAATAATTTCCCGAATTTGTAAGTATTACATTAATAAAATATTTGTAGTAGTTCTTACTTCATTTAGATACTGAATGAAATCTTTCATAATATCGAACTGATAAATTCAAATGTAAGGGAAGGGAAATAACTCGATTTAGGGAACAACAGAACTTGCCGTTATTAGTCCTTTTAGGTTATTTTATAAAACTATATATTATCAATGAATGGTTCATATGAAATTAATTTCGAGTCAGTGAATGATTTTCCAGTAAATATAGGAAAGAGGAATTACTTCCTGAGATATATGAGTTAATATTCCTTAATTTAGATATATTTCTCATTAATTATTCCGCTGGAAAATAATTATTATATGATAAATAAATTCTTTTCACCGGATGTCCACAGATCAAATACGACGAGGCTGGAGACTCTAAGACTAAAATAAGCTATTTTCTCCGCAGTAAATCTAAATTCAACTGCTAGGTAAACTGAAGCAAAATCCAAATGGTACAAGGAAATCCTAACATCAGCATCGGAAATTTAAGATTTTATCATCGACAGTTTAAGATACTCATATTAGGAAAACAGATATTCCAAAATGTCAAACACCGAGTCTGTCAAAAAAGTATATACACACTTTAACAAAAGAAACTTCTTTATTGCGTGTTAATACAGAGCTTATTTAGAGGTTAATATAATCATACCTATCACAAGGTTACAATCT